AAATGGTCAGCATCATTCCATTGTTATGTATAGGCTCATCTTCATCACTATCTGCAAATTGAAGGGATGGAGGAAGGCTGTTTCACAGAAGCTGTGTCATCTTTATCAGCACTCATACAGGAATATAACCAACTGGATGCCACAAAAAGCCTGCCCGTGGAAGATATACCTAGGCTGAGCGTAGCTGTGTAAGAAACCCTCAGGATGCAACTTCTACTCTTTCTTAATTTCACATTGTTTTTTTGTCCCCTTACCTTTCTGTTTCAGAATTTTTGTGATTCAGAAAGCCTGTGTGTTTGTCATATTAAGAAGTATTCTTGTCTGAAAGAATGTTTTTCTGTTGATGATACCACTGTGTGAAATTAGCAAAGTCCTAGTGCCTTAACTTCAGACATTTGTCTTCCAAAAAGTCCCCTTTTCTAAAATTGAAAGAATGGAGTTCTTCGACATTTTACTTTATTTATAGTCTCATACTTAGGCATTTATACAAAGATAATCATGTCTTCAATAAAAATCTTGTACATAAATATTTTTATATTTATAATTTATGTTTTCATATTCTGCTTAAATTCTGATTTTTTAAAAGTAAATACAGGGAGTAAAAGAATACAATATAAATATTTTTGTGTAATATATCCACTGACTTCTCAGGAATAGATTTTATTAACAGCTCTCAAGGAGGTTTTGTTTCTTCTTTGGGTAACCACCTGTTTACACTCTAACATATTTGTATTAAATTATTTTTAAATATAATGCTTTTTTATCAAAGCAGTTGATTTTGTAATAATAAATGTCCATATTTTTAAACTGTGCTACTTGTTACCAGTTTTGCTTGTCACTATTTATATAAACAAACAGAACATTACTAAACTTGATATTTTCTTCCAAACTTTGCATTAAATGACTATAATAGTCTAGTGACAGTATTCTGATTACTCTAAATCTCCAGTTTTAATCTTCAACATTAATTTACTTTAATCATAATTTATATTTAAAATTCATAGGTGAATTTATCACTTAGGGAAGTAATTTTTAGAAGCCAAATTTTCAAACCAAAAAAATCTGCTTTCTTTAATGTTATTTTTATTTTTATTTATTTTTTTGCCTTTTCAAAGTAAGGATACTGCTCTTGGTCTCTTTATCTTGGGAATTAAATTTTTATAGTACTTGGTATAAACATTTTTAGATTACAGTTGTCAACAGTTGCCAAAAGTTCCATTTTTCTCCTTCCAAAAGAAATCTTAATAAATATCCTGATAATCAAATATAAGGCAGTGGAAATAGTAAATAGGAATAAGATTAAGCTGTAAATATACTTAAGAATAAATTTATACTCTTGCTCATACTATAACAATTATATCATCTGATTGGAGCATAGGCACATTGTCAGAGTACAGATAATATGCTTTTTGCATATCTTCAATAAATTATTTCAGATTTTATAGAATAAAATGTTCTCTTGTAAATTGTATTTTTCCATTATATGGAATACATAGATGGAAACGAATATCTGTATTACATAATTAAACATTTTAAAGAGTGCAATTTTACTGTTTTCATAGTTTACATATATTTTTAGGAGAATCTTTTTAAGAGCTTTCAATGCCTTAAATACAGGTATCTGAGACTAGCTAGGCATTCTGAGTGTTTTAAGCCAATATAGTAGATTTTTCCACCCTTTAAAAACCATCCTAAATTTTAATGTAATGACATGATTAACCTTAACTTTTCCCCATGTGCTTGGTTTTATAGGATCTTGAGCTCAGAAAATATATCTCCTGGATCTCTACAGTTTCTCTGACATACACAAGATGTAATCCACTGCATCTTCCATTTAAATGACCCTTCATTTGGGCAATCAAACTGAATAGTAATCATTTTAGACTTGTTAGGGACACAGCATCTCTTATCCAAGCATACTCCACAGAAAGTGGGTTTGTAACTCTGCGTGCTTGAGCATCCAGAGAAGACAAATTTCTCAGCTTTGAAGAGTTGGAAAGTAGGTTGGCATGTTTTTCCTTTGGGGATCTGAAAAGATATATGACATTAAGCAGTCACTCTTTAAACTTCATTACAAGGGTTCAGAAAAGTGACACTTTATAGAATACAAATACAAACATAATTATTTTCAGGGCATTAACAGTTGCTATTTAGTGACATTCAGCCCTCTCTACCTTTAAAATCGCCTCTCACCAGAGGAAGTTTTAAGTCCTCCCTGTTCTTCCATCATATAGATTATAGGACCCATTTCCTAATGTTTTTTGCTGTCTACCCTTGACTTAGTTCCACAATAAATGAAAATTTCTATTTTGTTTAGTATCAAGGGTCATGTCTTTTTAAATATTTATTTACCTAAGACTTAGCAAATTCTCGAACACAATTTTGAGTAGATGGATAGATGAATAAAAAACATCTTAATCCCTCTGAAATTGAGTTGTCAGCTTTAATGTGATTGGGAGTAACTTTTTGGGAATAAGACTGGTTTTGTAGCATTTCTAAAACTACTCTTGAGACATTCATCTTGCCAAGTTCCAGAAGTAGGACTGGGTCTAGTTATACAAAGCAATCTTAAAATATCATATCATAGTCCTTTGGCATGTACTAGATAAGCAAAGCATTTTGGAAATGGTGTGGTTCCCTCTCCATGTTGGTGATACATATCTAAGATCAGAACTTCTCTGATGTTTATAATGTCTGTTTTCATAATTATGTATCAACCAAAATCTTTTATTAGTGGCTTTGGTTCCACTACATGAAATTCAAATAGAAAAAGTCAGAATCTGAAATGGAAACGGATCTACTCTTAAAAAAAAAAAACACACATGGTGGGGCACCAACCACAACAAATCAGGCTGATCAAGACCCACACTACTAGAGTGTCAAGAATCAACAGGTTATCATGACCTGTCTCATAAAATTTTTCACACAAAGTACAGTTAGATTAATACCTGCTTTCCTCCAAGATAGTCTGACTTTAAGAGTTATAATAAGGTGGTTTTATTAACAAACACCGTGCATGCCTTAAACACACATTCACACATACTTTTCAGGGGGTCTTAATATTGGATTATAATAAAGTTAACTCTAAACCTTACCTTTACCATGTTTGATATACTGCTGTCACAAGGCTGAATATAGCACAGTCTTTTCTCTTTTCTCATTTCACAGTTGCTATTTTCATTGGTTACTCTATTAGATATTCCCATCCCACATGTTCTGGAGCAAGGGGTCCACTTTGTTGCTTGCACAAGACATTTTCTTTTCCATATAAGTGGGAGATTCCTATAAGCTAAAGTAAAGAAGTATATGTTTGTGTGTGTGTATGTGTGTGTGTGTGTATATATATACACATATATATATATATGTACTCATGTAGATAATTTCTAATCATTATTAAGAGTTAATAGAACTGAACCTTTATATAATTCAGAATAAAATAAGCTTATGGTCTAATTTATCATTCTCCCTTTTTTCCACTTCCAAATCACCTTTCAATCAAGTGTTACAGTCCAATATCTTAGGAGGAATAAAATACTTTTTGAAAAACTGAGTAATGTACCCATTTGCTTCTTTTTGTTTGGCCCATCCTCTGAGTACTAACTCAGGTTTATATACTGATAGATATCATCTGTCTTTTCTCTGGTTCTTGCCTCATGCTTGATATTATTTCTAACAGACATGGAAACAGACATTAGTAGGATTAGGGAATTCAAGATAATCTTTGGAACAACGTGGTCTTAATGTTAAACTTTGCGATATGTTAAAATCTACAATAGAAGAGTTACATTTGAGAATTCAGCTATCAGTGAGACCAGTTGTTTTTTTCTCCACTTTTTTCAATCCAATCTTTTAGAAAATTCTCTACATTACACTGAACAAATGTAAATAATCATAGACTAAGTCATGGAAAATGTCCATTCTATTTTACGCATTCAGCCTAATTGTTACATTCCCTATGGTATCAGGCCTATGGTATTCCCTCCGTTGGTGAGCCATTTCATTATCACTTCAGAAACATGGGGAATGGATGGGTGGATGGATGGATAGATCTGTGGGTGAGTGGGTTGGACAGATGGAGTCCCCTTCATTCCCTGCAGCTTAGGAGCAACAAGGGAGGGGAAGGAGGTGAATAATGAAAATAGAAAGAGGGCACAGTAACTCTTCCATCTCCTTGTAAATCCACTGGGAGCTCCTTGTTTGCTCATGAATCAGGCACTTGGTTCACTTTAAGCAAACTACATGTTGGTTCATTGTCTCAAAGTATTTCTTACAGGTTAATACGCATCCTAAAGTGGATGCTTCGGGAGCAAGGTGGTGATTTGAGTTTGCAATTGAATACAGCAAAATTCTTGCTACATTACTTTTAAAGGCCAATTTTTAAAAGACTCCCCTAAAAATGCTTTCTTGATAGGAAATGTCGGTCACTTTGAAGTATGTGCTATCTCTGAATAAAAGAATACTTTGATACCGCTTTCAGTGTTATTACAGTAGGATCTTCAATTGCACATAGCACTGAAGGGGAGGAAACACGGAGATACCTGGAATGTAGGCAACAGTTTAAAGACCACAGCACAGGAAGCAGATTAAAAGCCTGGCACGCATCTGCAATAAATAAAGGGAGGTTAGATTATCGTGTTACCAGTAACCCCACTTAAAGTTACGCCAAGGGCTGCAGTTCAGAAATTTGCTTAACATTCCATTAAAAAGCAAGAAGCCAGAAGAGGTTTTTAAAGCAAAGGTTTAGTGTCTGATGAGCAGTGAAAAAAGCATGAGGGCGGCAGTCACTGCATGCTTCCTGCTGACCAAGCAAAAGCTAGAGTCCAACCAGAGACCACCTGGAATTAACTACATTTATAAATTACTATCACAAATGTATCTTAGAGCCTGTGTGTGTCATTGTGCTTCATTTTAAAAGCTAAACTCCTGTCTGGGCGCATAAATACAGTTTTGAAGTTAAGCAGAGGAGAGATTTTTTGTAGCAAAAACACTAACCACTAAGAATGACCATCTGATGCCTCCTCCAGCCAGGTTCCAAGTAAATACAATGAGATTGCTCTAACTTCACAGAGGAGACCAACTTGACCTTTATCCAAAGGTCTTCACTTGTAGATAACTACTGCTCTAAGGTAGCCTCTCACCAGGGAGCCTCACACACAGGTTCTAAGAACTTGTACTGAGTCACTCAGATCTAATGCAGAAAACCAACTGTTGTACGTTTTGGGAAAAAAAAAATTGGGGGCTTATAATTTGAAAAGTTTTAGAGTATTATTACTATCATGCTGTTAGCTGCATAACTATGTATGGTAAATGCAAATCCTCAACCTGGGAAATGTTTTCCAATCAATTGGCATAACTGAACTCCCAGAGGATGTTCCTTTAAGAGTTAGTTTTTAAATATCTAAAACTTATTTCTCTGATTGTAGTTACTTTTATTAAATATCCATATAAGTGAATTTAGAGTTTTTAGCATACATAAATATTCTGTGTTTCTATGGTACTTTTCATTCCTTAAGCTTTAAATTTCAAGAAGGCATTGTTGATTTCTAGATGAAAACACAGATAACCAGTTATCATCAACATTGTCCCTTTTGAGTCCTTTCTCACCTCTGCTTCAACTGCTGGCATTTTGAAACTCCTGTCTCCAAAAATTCCTGGCACTTCAATAAGATGCTAGCTTAGAGCAGACCAGGATACAAGGTTTATGAATATATTGATACCAACTGTAAATGGCCAGGTGCTCCAGATGAGTAATAAAGAATCTCATTACAAGTTTCTGACCACACATACCTGGGTAACCTACTCAAAACTGCCCGTGTGTCCATTTATTTAGAGAGAGAGGTTGGTAATTGTTAAGCTTTACTTTCAGAGTAAATGAAAGGGAAACTTTTATATCAGCAGTTTTCTCTGTTTTTAGAAATAATATTTACAAATTCAAATATTTTCCATCAGTAGCCTTCCATTTCTGCTTTTATCATATAGAAAAGTTGTCTTTGGAAATTTTTGGAACTGGATCCTCACACTTCTTGCCCTTAATATAATGATACAAATAAAAGTTTTTCCAGACCAGGGTGCATGTGAACAGTATTAAATCAATTTTCCTGAGAAGAGGTTAAATGGAAATAAGCAGAGGTGGTAAGATTTTAGAAGAGTTTTCCTGACCTAGTAGACCTTTTGAAAACTGAAATAGTTCACTGGAAAAATCTAGAATAGTATAAAAATCCCTTTTTCAGACATTTAGAGCACACTTGCCTGAGGCAGAGACTGGGTACGACAGCACACTCAATCTCACACTGACCACCAATCAGCAAGTACTAACTGGGTACCTTCACTACAGAACAGGGACATGAACAAGAACCAGGCGAAGTCACACATAAGAAACAGTTCTACTTATGAGCACCTGGCATTGTTTTGTAGCTTGTTGAAAGCTGCTGTTGTGACGATGCCAGGCCACATTTTGATTGATCAGTCTTCTTTCCACCTTTAGCCCCCGAGCAGTGACTGTCAGCCAGCTTTGGTATGAACAGAGGTGTGCATCCAATGGCCCCACTCACACAGAGGCAGCTGAACAGTGGATGGGGCTGGAACACTTGGCCATTATGATAGTGAACCCTGTTGAACTCACATCCCACAGCTACAAGGTCTGAAAAGAGAAAAGAGCCAAATCACCCCAAAAGCCATAACTGATAGTCTAGACCTCCAGTTATAAACCACAGAGGAAATTGCTATCTCCTTTATGAAGTATAGTTCTCAACTTCTAGGCACCAGCTGGAACCTCCTTCATAGACATCTGTTAAAAGTGAAAATGAGACATTTTTATTATATCACAGGCTATTAGCCCCAAATGGTCACCTTTGTAATTAAGACTCTGTTTGCTGTTCTGAAGTAAAGTTAATAAAAAATCACTATGACTCTAGAAGTGAGATAATGATCGTAAACCTCAGAGTTGGGACACAGCTCCAACAATAGGTGGGGATATATTCCTAGGAAGTTAGGATATATGAATGGATGAAGAAATCGTAATTTGCTTAATCACAATACTGCATAGTAACTGATTTTTTTTGTTAAGAGAATTAGAAAAAACTTTCACTTCCTTGGAGGGATTCTTGACCTGGATCAGTAGTTTTCAAAGTGGGACTGTGAACCCCTGGGAGTACCTGAGGCCCTTTCACAGAATCTGCGAGGTCAAAACTTTTTTAGAATACTAAGATGTGACTGATGTCTTCACTGTGTTGATATTTGCACTGATGGTGCAAAAGCAGTGGTGGCTAAAACTGCTGCTGGCCCCTGAGCGTGAATCAAACTGTACAGGTTGTCACTGTATTTTTCCTTGCCATGCACTTATACATTAATGTACTTTAAAAAAAAAAAGGTTTTAATCAGGGAGGGTACAGCTCAAGTGGTAAAACACATACTTAGCATGCACAAGGTCCTGGGTTCAATCTCCAGTACTACCATTAAAAATAAATAAACCTAATTACCTTACTTTGCCAAAAAAAATTTTTTTTAAGTTCTTGGTTTTACCTAAGAATGGCCTTAATGATATAGTAAAAAATCACTAATTTTATTAGATCTTATCAAATACATGTTTAATATTCTGTGTGACAAAATTGGAAGCATACATGGAGAATTTCTGTAGAGATTATACCAAAGTGCAGTAGTTATTTTGAGGAAAAGCACCTGTGTTATTTGTTTCAGTTGTGGGCTGAACTAAATACTTTTTTAGTGGTAATTTTCCCTGAAGAAATGACTGACAGATAAATCATGATTATTCAGACTTGGGTATTTGGCAGACGTTTCCTTGAATTATCAACAAAGTGAGCCTGTCACTTCAAGGAAAACAATGAACAGTACTTGTTGCCAATGATAGAATTCAAGCTTTCAAGCAAAAATTAGAATTTTGGAAAACTTGTATCCACCACTGAGATCTTTATAGCTACCTAATATGTAGACTTTTCTGATGACATGGATATTAATGTGATTTATAAAAAAAATCTACATAACCCATTGTTCCCAACTGATATTTTCCAAATAATCAATGGAGTGGTATTACAAAATTATGCATGAAGAAAAGCCCCATTCCAAGTAGGTCTTGGATAGACTAGTGTATTTTAGTATCACAGAATTTGACAAGTTCATTAATACAGTTTCAGATTCCATGTGATACAGCTAATTTAAGAAACTCCACTTCTCAAATTTTAATACAATACCCAAAAAGAATACTCACAATTATTTGAAAAGTCTATTAAAATATTCCTTCCTTTTCCAAAGATAAATCTTTGTGAGACTGGAATCCTTTCATGTTTCAAACCAAAACAACATATAGCAATAGACTGAATGCAGAAGCAGATGTGAGTCTAGCTATCTTCTGTTAAGCTAGACCTTAAGAGAGATTTGCAAAAATGTGAAACAATTCCATTTCCACTCTTCTCACTAAATTTTTCTTTTGAAAATAAATTTTTTTCACATATATATTATTCCTATTATTTTGCAATGGGTTTGTTATTTTTTAATGAATTAGTAAATATCATGTACATCATGTAAATGTAAATATTTTTACATTTCTAATCCACTAAATACCAACAGATAACTCACATAAACAAAATCTCTTTGGGTCCTCATTAACTTCTAAGACTAAAGGGATCCTCAGACAAAAAAAAAAAGCTTAAAAACCATTGTTTTATATCACGAATCAGCACATTTTCTGTAAAGTTGTATCTTAGCTTTTATAGACCAGTCTCTGTTGCACCTACTGGACCTGCTGTTGTAAAGCAGCCACAGACCATATGTAACTGAACTGGTGTGGCTGTGCTCCGATGAAGCATTATTTACAGAAACAGACTGTGGGCCAGATTTGGTCCCTGTGCCATAGTTTGTGACCCCAGTCAGAGATCATCCCCACCCCATCCTCATGGCTATGCTCTGTTAAAATACTCATCACATTGCACGTGAAATTACTTGTGGAAAGATCCGTCTGACACAATAAACTGTGACACTGTGAAGACAGGGCCTGTATCTTTTTCCCCCTGTGGTGTCCTCAGCTGCTGGTCACGTTGCCTGGCTCAGCAGTGGATGCTAAGACTTTGTTAGGTTAATGAAATAACTTGCCCGGCACTGTTTGGGAGAAAGGGGTGTCCTGAATGCCAGAGTCTGATAGGTCATGTTTTCCCTCTTAAATTTCCATAAGTAGTAGCTAACACTTTTGAGAGTTTACTGTACATCAGATATTGCGCTAGGTGTTTTGGGTTTTATTTCATTATTTCATTTGATCCTTCTAACAACTCTATAAGATAGGAAGTGCATATAATATAATTAAGCCACAGAGAGGTTAAGCAATTTGATCAAGGTCACTCAGCAGACAGAGCTCAGAATTTGAGCCCAAAGCCTACATTCTTAACCAGTGTAATAAAGTGCTGACAGGGGCATCAGGCTATCAAACCGGAATTGTTCCACATTCAGCCCACCTTCAAAGCTGTGTTCCCATTCCATGCTCACAGTCGAACTTCAGCCAGTAATTTGCCTTCCCATTTAGGCTTTTCCACAGAGAAACTCAACCGCCCAGCTGACAGAAGTTATTTCTCTTCCCTGAGAAGTTTTATTTTTTAATCCTAAATAAATCAGCCTCCTGAATTATTTCCAAGGTGTTATTGTAGGTTTAGATGGTCTCAAGCAGCCTCCAGAGCTAAGACCCATAACGCTGAGGGTCTGGTTGTCACTTAGGGCACCCCTACCTTCCTCTTTACAAATCTGCCTCAGTAACAAGCACAGAAACTTGATAGTTGGGAAGTATGAGATTAAAGCAGTCTGTCTGAATATTAGATATGTATCCTTACATGTTAAGCGAGATTGTTTTTAGCACAGAAAAGGCTGAATTTACATTGTTTTTTGACAGTATTAACAAAAGATGCCATTTTGTGGCACTTTAAGAAGTCAGACTCTATATGTACCTAGTTTCTCCTATTTTTATCATTAAAAGCAATTACTTGAGAAGAACTGCAAGATCATTTCAATGCAATAAAAATAGCAGGTTTCTGAACATGTGTAAATACCTGCTCATATCACATGGTGTCCAGCGTGACAAAGCCAGTCTTATTGGTGCATGAAAACCAAACCCCCTCATAGTCAGACTAAGCTGATTGTTCCAAATTAACAACTGGAGGAAAAAAATCCTGTCTAGATTCAACATCTTCCAGCTGGCCCAGAAGGAAATACTTACATGCACACACTCCGGTCTCGTACCTAGGCCCGTCTGCTGAGTAGTCACAGTACAGCCCTTTGTGGGGGTCACAGAGGTCAGCTTCGTTGCAGGTGTCCCCTGGTTGCTTAGCACAGATTTTACAGCATCCACAGCCATCTCTCACCAAGCTCACTCCAGGAGGGCAACTGGGCTTCTGACGAGGGCATCTACAGGGCCAGTGACAAAACTGTTTACGATGGTGCACTTCTGACGCTTCTCCAGGCCTTCCTTCAGGTGCCGTGTCGAGCAGCCCAGTGCCCTGGGCCCTGCAGCAGAACTTCATTTGACAGTAAAGTTGAGATTAGAAATGGTTCCTCAAACTAACTCCAGAAGTTTTAGTAGAAATAGGATTTCTCGAAAATTGCTAGAATGGTGCAGTGAGTTGTAACAATAATAATATCTATCAGTTTTTGACATGATCAATCTCCTAAAACTTTTCTGCACTCAGCCTCCAATGCATGACTCCTGCTCCTCCTTTCTCACTGATGGCTCCTTCTCAGTTTCTTTTACTGGTTTCTTCTCATCACCTTCATCTCTCAACAGTGGCGCCCCCTGTGGATAAGACTTCAGAAGTACCTTCCTTCACTGTGTCTCTGATCACCACCCAGGCCTCTCTCATGAACTCAAACTGCCTCCTTCATAGATCTCCACTTAGATACTTGCCAGGTATCGCAAACTGAACATGACCCCAAACAAACTCCCAATTTCCCCCTCTAATCTAGTCTTCCTTACAAGGGAAAGAGAGAGACAGGCGTGCCAGAGAAGATGTGATGGTAGACGCAGGGGTAGACAAGATGCTACTGCTGAAAGGGGTCCTGAGCCAAGGAATATGGGCAGTTTTTTAAAGCCAGAAAAGGCCAAGGACAGAGTCTCCCACAGACTCCCCAGAAAGAACACAGCCCTGCCCTGATTTCAGCTCTGTATGGCCTATTTTCAGACTACAGATGTCCAGAATTGTAAGATAGTAAATTCATGCTGTTTTAAGCCACAAAGATTATGGCCTTTTGTTACAATACCAATAGGAAACCATACAACCCATGTAATAAATGAGGACTATGAGGGTCAGATTATTTAATCTGCTCGAGGTAACACGCAAGTAAATGGTAGAAGAGGGACTTAAACCAGGCAGGTGGCTCATAGAACCTGGGCTCTCAATCCTTACCCTCCTCCCTTCCCCAGACCAGCGTCTGGCCACAAACTAGCTTTGATATTGAACTGATCACTGAATCTCTGCATCTGTTTCTCCTCACCAGCCTAGACTCTCCCCCTAACCTCACAATGAACTCATTCATTTCTGCTGGGTACACCCTACTTGGATGTCCCACGGCACCACCTCACCGTCTCCCTTCCCCCAACAAACTGCTCCTCCACTAATCATCTCCATTTTTATGAATGGTGGCGCTGTCCACTGAGTTCCCCAAGCCAGGAAGCTGAAGGTCAACCTCATCTGCTCCACCTCCTTCATCCATCACACCTAAAGTCACTGACCTGCAGGCAAGTGCAGGCCCCTGAGCACAGCATTCAGGACCCTCCTCATTCAGGACCCTCCTGGTCTCTTGCGTTCCTTGTGTTCCTTAGCTTCCAGCAAGTGAAAGTGTCTGTGATTCTGTGCATATCTGATGCTGTGCCTTCCGCTTGAAATCTTATTCACCTGCCCCGACTCCTTCACTGAATTATCACCTTTTCCAGAACTTTCTGTAACCTCTCCATGCTCCCTTTCACATGTCTGTGTACTGAAATTATATGTTTAATTGCCTCTCCACTCACCATAAAGCTACCCAGCCTCAGGGACTGCAAGTTGACTTGCTAGTGTACTGTTAGCAATTAGCACAGTGCCTGGCAAGTAATTTCTGTAATTAACTCTCCATTTTTATTTCATGGACTGGAAGGCAGTTGGATTGATCCAGAGATCTAAATCTCCTTCCAACTCAAAAACTCTACATTTAAAAGTATCCGTTTGAAATTCCACCATTAAACCCTCAGTCTTTCTTCTTATGAAACACATAACCCCCAGAGTAATGCGTTCAGCTACTATTCAGGTTGAATATACAATGTGAAAATAGACTTTGAGGATACAGTGCTGCACTTCTGGAAGAGGAGGAGGGGAAATGGAAATTTAAAATGTAGAAGGGAGTAAGAAAGAGCGAGGCTAGAAATAGTGAACGAGTGCCTACTGCTCAACCTTGCCCGGGTTCAGCCGTGGTTACCAGGGACCCCTGGCCAGGTTCAGCAGCCTCTCAGCTGGGCTCATGTTCATGGACCTTCTTGGCCCTCTCCTTGCCCCACCCATCTAAGGTCTTTGACTCTCAATCAATCCTCTTCCTTGGCTTTCAAGACACCAGCCTCCCCAGTTCTGCCCCCATTTCTAAACATACTTCTCAGTCTCCTTTGCAGGCTCCTGTTACCCTGATTTGGGTTTACAAGTATTTCATGACCTTCATGTTTTGCTGTACTCACTCTGCACACTGTCTCTTGGCCATCTTGTCCACCTCCTTGCCTTCAATTTCCACCCTATGCAGCTTCAAATCTAAATTTCCATCCAGGACTTCTCCACTGAGCTCAGACCCATACAGCTGACTGCCAAATGGACATCTCCACTAGACGGTCCTACCGAGAAAACTTACATCCCAAACTCATTGCCCCACCCACCTGAGACAGCTTCTCTGTACTTTGGAGTTAGAATCCAGGAGTCATCCAGGTCACCCACCCCACCCCGACCCCCCAGAGTCATTCAGTGACCAATCCTGCCTATTGTCCTCACAGCCCTACAACTAGTCACTCTTTCTCATCTTCACTGCTGCTAAGTGCTCTTGTAGCAAGTTCCTAACTGCTCTCCCACCCTCAAGAATGACTTGTCCAAAGAATCTATGTCACAGCTGGGAGTATCTCTTTAAAAAACATATCTGATTTTACTCCTCAAAGCCCATCAGTGGTTCCCTCTACTGTCAATAGTGCACAGCCCAGACTTCTGAGCACGGTGTCTAAAGCCCTCTGTGTGCTGTTCTCTCTAGCCGTGGTGCTCAGTGCCTTCTCCTCCTATGCCGTGCAGTGTACTAATGGGCCAGGTCGGTTTCTCCTCCATGTTTTTCCTCATGTTGCTCCCTCGAACAAAGTGCCCACTCCCAAAACTGCCCACCTGGGGACACCTGATCACCTTTCCAGTATTGAAGCACTTCTACATAATCCGAGGTCACAAGGTAACACTGTTGAAAACCACAGATAAGGAGAAAAATCTCGAAATCAGTCTGAGAAAGGGGGGAGTATTACACACAAAAGAATAACAATAAAAACAAGATCTGACTTGTTATCGAAAGGAGGAAACCAAGACGTCCTTCAGTAGGTGAATGGTGCCTCCAGACAGTGGAATATTATTCAGTGCTGAAAGAAAATGCGCTATCAAACCATGAAAAAATATGCCTATTTCTAAGTGAAAGGAGCCAGTCTGAAGTGTACATACTGTATGATTCCAAATACATGACATTCTGGAAAGGGCAAAACTATGGAGACAAAAAGATACATGGCTGCCAAGGGTTAGGAGGAGCACAGAGGTGGAGCACAGAGGATTTTTAGGGCAGAGAAAATACTCTGCACGACAATGTAATGGTGGATACACGTCATTATACATTTGTCCAAATTCATAGAATGTACAACACCAAGTGTGAATGATGAAAACGATGGACTCTGGGCAGTTATGATGTTGTCAGTGGTGGTGCATCCGTTACAACAAATGTAACACTCTTGCAGGGGATGTGGATAATGGGGGGAGGCTTTGCACTTGTACGGGCAGGCAGTATACAGAAAATCTCTGTACCTGCCTCTCAAGTTTTCTGTAACCCTAAAACTGCCCTTAAAAATTAGGTCTTTTTAAAAAGGAGGAGAAGCAGAACAAGACACCAGGAGACAATACTAAAAAGAAAAAACAAAACTGTCAACCTGGGATTCTATCTCCAGTGAAACTATCAAAAATGAGGTGAAATTAAGACATTTCCAGATAAACAAAAACTGAGAGAAACTGTTGCTAGTGTACCTGACTTACAAGAAGTACTAAAGGAAGCTCTTCAATCTGAAGGGAAAATTACAAGAGATAGCAATTTAGAAATACAGGAAGAAATGAAGGGTCCTGGAAATAGCAAATATGTGGTAAATACAAAGGATTATATATATTTCTTCTCTTTTCTTTGGACATTTTGATTGTTTTCAAAATCAAAATCTCAAAACAATAAAAGAATCATCAGAATGACGACACAGAAGGAACGAGGGCTTTGACCACAGAGCTGAGCTTATGTATAGCTGGGATCTTAGACAACTTTCATTTATTTGATCATTAAGCCTCAACCCTCCTCTGTAAAACAGGACTAATAATATCCACTTTGCAAGGTTATTTTAAGGATGAAGATAATGACTAAAGTGCCTGGCATAGTACTTGGCACGTGCTAGGTGTTCAGTAAAAGGTAGGTATTATCAGAGCCTTCAGAAATTCACAATGGCAAAGTTAAGGAAAATAATATTTTTTGTTGCTCTATCTATAACATTTTTTTGTGTGTTTGCTTTTGTTTTTATTTTGCGCATATTTATGTTGGAATATTTGCTGTTTAGAGATATGTTTTAGTTCTCAATCCAGGAAAATGACAGGCCTTTTCCAAGAAAACAAGCAGTCCCATCTCACCTCCACTGGGGAAAAACACCCCTCCCCATAACAGTACCACTGACATCCTTGCTACGATCCTTTTAAAATTTTAAATCTCTCCCTTTATAACAAAAACAATTTTCAGTCCCTTCTTTTCTAAAATAACCTACCATTTACTGTCCCGATCAACCACAGACTCGTTCCTGTTTCCTAAACCACCAGGTTTCCAAAGCTCTGTCCTCTGGTCTAGCAATAACCTCCGTGTAAATAAATCCATAAATAAGTCACCTTGTTTCGATCTTCTTAAAAAAATATACTAAGGCAACGACTTGCTCATATTAAATTAAACGTCCCTTTGGTCTGCTGCTTGAAATATTTCAAAGTCTCTGCAGACTGCTTCCCTTTCATGAAAAGTGAGAAACACATGGGTTAAGAAAAGACTAAGTAATAGAATGTTTCAAAAATACACATGTTTGTTCCCAAGCGCTCCTTTCAAACAAGGACAGGCTTAGCTGAAGGAAGTCGTCAGGATCACTTTTTCCAGTGGCTCCAGGCACATTCTGCTCCAACCGCGGGGAGCTGAGCCCTGGCCGCGCGCCCACCGCGGGGCACCGCTCACCCCACCCGCCGCGCTGGGCTGCCGCTCCCCGAGCACGCGTGCGTGTCAGGCCCCGCCAAACCATACATCTTATGAAAATTTGGGAGCTGTTCAAACACATCAGAAGCAGGATTAAGTGCCCTTACCTGAAAGGGAGAAAAGTTTTCCACTCTTTCCTGAAGCTAATGAACTAAAACAGGACTTGCTGTGGAGAGGAAAAATGGCTCCCCACTCGTCTGCAAGTATTTCCACAAGGAATGCATCCCTTCTCTCCCCCCATCTTCGCCTGCCTTTTTATTTTTGACCTGGAGAAATAAGAGCTGCCGCAGTCCCTGGGGGCAGGAGAGGCGTGAGAGCTAGGACCTACCTGCGACAGAGCAGCCAGGAGGAGCGTGGAGAGGAGCGGGCCCCGCATGTCCCCGGCCCGCGCCGCAGCCGGAGATGGGAGGCCGGCGCCGCACAAAGCTCTCCTCTGTCTCCTGGCGGAAGGACCCACGCCTCCACCTCCCAGCTCCTGACTTGGTGCTCCTGCTTTCAGACTCTGCTTTCCTGGATGCCTTTTAATACCCTGTTTACTTTCAGGCGACTCTTCTCTTATTTACCTCCGCGGTGGCCTGGGGCGCGCTCCTCCCAGGCTGAGAAGGGCAGATCAGTGGTGACTGCTGTTTGAGGAACTGTTCTACCCGCTCCTAGAGATCAGAGCCCAGCCTTGGGCAAAATGATGAAGTTAGATGAATTTTCCCTCCTTAGCCTCAGCCTCTCGTCTGAGTTGGCCTGCCCCAGGCCCTCTCTGTGCTGCTTGCTTCCCCTGGCGGGTACTGGCCTGACCTCTGCCCACGGCGGTCGCATCACAGCCTGCGCTGGGGCTTCTCCCTCCACGTCCCGAACAGGTTCCCACAGGCCTTTCCAGACTCCCCCGCTTCTAATCGCCGTGCCCTATACTTACCTCTACTACAGCGCGTCTCTCACACCAGATGGATTAGGTTTGGGGAAATGTAGATGGAACACAGGTGGACGCCTGCTTGAGGTACCTGGCCTGAGGGGAAGCCCCCTTCTGTGGTCAGGGCCTCATGAGAGCAAAGTTGACCCCAATCTTTTGGAGCTAGGGTAAAACAACTGCACTAGTGGCTGTCATTCATTTAACAAACTCAGATTTTTAAAAAAATTATTACAGATTTGTGTCCCCCTCTCCTTCTAATTCTGCCCCTCCCCAGGCCTGTGTAGTCACCAGCCCATCTCCTGTGTCCAGTCGTGTGTAACCTCGTACCCGACTTTCTCGACCTTGGTCTTTGACCAGTTATCTTGACAGACATCTGCCATGAGGCTTTGTCTTCTTGTGGATCCAGGGTCTGGCCCACCTTCCTGTCCCATCCTAGAGCCGATTTCTATTCCCTTTGACCTGTTACCCCTCCTCCTTTTACCTGTTACCTTACCTCTCCTGGGCTCACTGCTTACCTTTGTTTCTGTGTATAAAGACATAGTGAGTGAAACTCACCAGCCCAAGACCTGGGAAAAAACTGGGCCAACAACAGGGAATCTGGGGTCCTCAGAGACCAAGGACTCCATAAAATGGACACATATCTTCTACACAGTTTACTAAGTAGTCAATTACCCCATAATTATATACACACCAAACAACAAGGAATACCCGTGTACTTACGAGGTCCACTCTTCATCCCTTCCCTCCTCCCTGAGAAACAGGACAAAAACCTGTGTAATAGGAAAGAACTTCTGTATTCGATTACAAGTTAATCACTAAAGGGATGCTGCCTATAAGCTTAAATGATACATAATGGCCCATCTCTGGGAACCCTGCCTCCCAAGTAATGAGGTTAACCTAAAATACCTTTGTTTAGTTCACAGGAAACATCCTGGCCAGGCCCACCTATGAATGGCTATGGGAAGGAAGAAATTAACACATGCCTTCCGAATCCAGCCAGAACCAGGACATCACTCCTCCTTTTAGCGTAAAGGAAACCTGAAATCTGACTCTGGGAAGATGGTTCTTTGGGACACTAGTCCACTACCTTCTACCTCAGGTCTGCTGGCTTTCCAAATAGTCACCATTCCTTGCCCCCAACAACTCATCTCTCGACTTACTGGCCTGTCATATGGGGGCAGTATAAGCTTGGACTCCCGAGAACAGCGTAGCAAAGGAAGATGGGTCCACATTGGTCCAATCTGACTATTATTTTTCTCTCTCTGGCTTAACACCATCTGACCTTTGGGTTCCCAGCCCGAGTGATTCCTGCATCACATGGGCCATGAGAAAGGATCATTTCTTATTTCCTCACTGGTTTATCAAAAGCAGAAGAATCTAAGCCCAGGATTAGCATATTTATCAGCTACATCCCTCCTATTCCAAATGTGATGCCATGCATCTGTTTAGTGTTTGAACTTGAGATTCATGCTCCCCACATTAGGTCTCTGTGAAATGCTGGCAGCAGCAGCCATTTTTCAAGAAATGGCTTCCCTCCCTCTGCAGTCTCTCTGCCATGGGCCGGGAAGGTGTCATACTCACCATCCTTGCTCTTAGTAGGGAAGGAACATCCTACTTGAGAATGAACTTGGAATTCCCCAGTGTATGGAATGGATGGGTCTGGATTACCTGCTGTCACATGTGTTTAGACATCTCCAGCCATGGGCTTGCTCCTGTTTAGCTAGTTCAAGCCTACTATGGATGGACTAAGTGAATAGGATATTTCTAGAGCTTGGGACTGCCAACTTCCACTTTAGATGACAATAGCCATTCACGGTGACATCCTGCTCTAAGCGCTTCCCTCTATTATCTCATTTAATAAAATGTCCATCTGCCTAGGTGTTCATTTCACAGGGGTTTGGCTTATGATACACATTCAAATAGACATGTCACTGAGCATAACCAATGTTTGCATCCTGTTTCATGATTTATAAGGAAGTTCACATGTATTATCTTTTTTAATTTCACAGCTCAGTGAGGTAGGCAAAAGCGTATTACCGTCCTCATTTAACAGAGTAAAAAGTTGAGGTTAAGTGATTGTACTTGGTCAACAGAACACACGTAATCCTCCAGAGCTATATAATCTATGGGGAGAGAAGACGCTGAACAAACACGCAAAGTATCCATGACTAAAAATTGAATACAAGCTAAGAGCTAATAGCAAAGAACAAGAAACCACAAGAGAGAACAACAGGTAGGAGCTCATTTAGATTGGGGGCAGGGAGGACGCCTGTGAGGAGGTGGCACAGAGAGCTGAGAGAGGAAGTTGGCTGAAGACTTCCGGTCCAGTGCTCTCTCCACCGGCAAAACGCGCACCTCCGATGGTGACACGCTCTCTCCGTGAAGCGCACACCCCACTGCCCTCGCCATAGGATTCCTGAAATCCTTCTATCAGGGACATCATCTCGGCTAGAACAGTGCCTTCTCCTGGGAGGTTGCGCCACCTGGGCAGGCAGAGATCAGCGTCACAGGTCTGCAGCACACTGAGCAGTGAATGAGTCTCCCTTCCCTCATCCCCTCGTCCTTCTTTCCTTCTCTTATCCATGGTGGAGAGGGAATTATTGTCAGTCCAAGAGAAGAGACAGACATTACTGGAGTAGGAATGCTCCAAAAGTGTGTGTCAGTGAAACTAGAGCTTTAACCGTAACAGCCTCTAACAATTACAGAGAGCCCTCCACACATGGACTCAGCAGATCCTCGCAGCATCCCTGGTGGGGGGGGGGGGTCGGTTGACTACCATCTTTGAGGAAACTGAGGAGAGCAAGAGGTAGAACCAAGATCCCAAGCGTTTAAGCCGCCTGCTCTGCTGCCTCTCTGCATGGCCTGTGAACTACACAGTGCTCTGTAGCAGGATCGTTCATCCAGATACCTAACTTGCATTGTGTTCTCAACGTTCCCCCCACCCTTGGTCCCCTCTCTAATTTCGAGAAGTTAGTGAGGCCATTTATATTCCCTTCCGTCCATCCTCCAAGCAGAAGAAGGAAGCTGCCAATGCTTTATCTTGTCTTTTTGGGAAACTGGATCTCACTGAAGAGCTGAGGCTGGGAGGGGAGAGGGGAGTGAGTCTGCGGCAGCGCAGAGGAAGCAAGGGAAGCAGGTGGGGTGGGGGTGGAGACTGGACACTCAGGCTGTCTCTGTGCGAGTTCCCTGAGGCCCTCTGTGTCGGTGCAGAGCCCTCAGTGCCAGTGCAGACGTGGACCATCAGGGTGTGGGCAGTCAGCTCAGAAAGTGTGGACCAGAGGCCTGGCCTCTTTCCCAGGCACCAGCTAGGCCTCCTGGATTGTTGTTTAACCTCTGATGGTGGCGGTGGTGGTGTTGGGAGCCACACTCCAACGGCGGCTTAGAATAATACATATCTCTCCAGATGGAGATGGGAGATGGTGGCTCAGAGCCAGGTTTAATTTAAATGTGAACTTTAATTTTAATTAATTAATTAAAATTTGAATTTGAAGGAAATGAAGAAACGGATGTTTCCTACACTCCCAGATTTGTGGCTTCATGTTCAGCCTTGCTACAAATACTGTTTAGTCTCACAAAACCACCATTCTCCTGGAGTGAGTGCTTGCGCCTGAAAATCCACAGGCCTCAGAACCACAATCCATGCCAGGACGTCTATACCAGCCTCAGCTCTCTGTCCGCTCCCGGCTGGGCCTGCACCTAGATCTCTAATCGGGGATTCTTCCAGCCATTGCTATTCCAGCCCCACGGTGCTGAAGGACAGTCAAATGGCAGGTGTTCAATCCAAAGTTCTTGGGTATTTAAAAGGACTTCTTTTAAAATCACCCTAAAACTGCCAAAGCTAGACATGTCTATGATCTTGCATAATTTATCCACTGCATCCTTTTGTGCCCTGTTTCTAACTATTACTAATTGTTGCACTTCTCACTTACCTCTTTCCTATGTGTATGTCTTCTGTTAAATGCAGCCCCCTTTTTTTTTTTTTTAAAACAAAGCTCTAGCCTGGAGATCCCAACGTGAATTTCATGATGCATGACTGGGAGAGCAGGTTTACTCTCTCTTCCTCCACTAACCTACACAAACCTCTTTTACCAACACCTGTGCACTCTCTGTGGGGCTGCGTCAGGCCTGCTAAGGTTCTGCCAATGCCCCCACCTGGGAGAACGGTTGCCAGAGTCCCAGGATGGCCTGGCTCTGCTTGGCCTCCCGTCCAGCTTGCAGTGAACCAGGTCCAAGAGTGAGCAGCCCCTGACAACCACAAATCGCTGGCCCTGCCATCTGCGTAGGCCTCGCAGCAGAGTCTCCTTGAAAAGAAGCAGGTGCCCTCGTTCCCAGGGCATCAGAAAGTCAGGCTGCGGCCCAAGGAAAACAAGGCCAAATACCTCAAAGGATCTAATTGACTTTGTCACTTGGCCCTGTTAGACTGGTTTGCAGGGGGAGCCCTGTGTGGGAAAGGGAGCTGAGTTAATCAGATGCAGGCACTGAGGGGCCTCATGAGAAGCAGGAAGGGAGAGAAGAGGAGGACGAGGTATTTCCTGTATTTCTGAATGTGGGTGGAGCTCATCTTTCAGGGAATGGAGAACAGGCATACTGTGGTGTCATCCCTGAGCTTCAAAATGATGGCATTTGTGAATCATAATCCAATTATACATGTAGGCCCGCTGGCAGGTTGACAGGATGCTG